GCTGCTGCCACTACTACTACTACTACTACTCCTCCTCCTCCTCCTCCTCCTCCTCCGGCTGCTGCTGCTGCTGCTGCTGCTGCTGCTACTGCTACTGCTACTGCTGCTGCTGCTGCTGCTGCTACTATTAATAATACTGCTGCTACGATGATTACTACTGCGACGACAACGACCATGACGACAATCACTGCTACGACAATTTCTACGACAATTACTACGACTGTTACTGGGCTACGACGACTACTATGACGACCGACGACTCCTGCTGCAACTCATACAATGTCTACTACGACGACTGCTACGACGATTACTACGACGACCAATACGACGACAGCTATCACAACGACTACTGCGACCAGCTCCTACTCCTCCTGCTCATCCTACTCCATCCTCTCCGTTTCGGCGATTTATTCAGCATTCCATTTAAAGACCTATCCTAGCCTAGGAACTCTTGGATCGCGCCTCGGTGGACTCCATGAGCCTCGGCTCAGCAATGATTGCACAATGTGAGAGAATCGTAGTAGCTCGGGGGATCTCAATTGGGCTTGGATTCCTGTGAGAGTTCTGTCTCATGGTGACGGTAGCTTTCTTAGACCGCGTTGCATGGATGAGTTCCTCATGAGTCAAGGAGTAAGGAACGGATATCCTCCCAGCTGCTGCTGCATAGTCTCGTGAGTCGCCCAAAGCCTTGCACCCTCTTGTCCGAAAGCAGGCCCGGATGTATCCTTTCGTAGTATACTTTGTGGCATAAGCTCTGGTACGGATCCAAATGTGAGTCCAATAGAATACTTGGTACTATGCCCCAGTAAACGTATTGGATGATATCATGATAATCCTTTCCTCCGTGCAGCTCTAATGGTACAGACAATCCTTACCATGAAGGAGCGAGCTGTTCCAGCAGCTTGACGTGGACTCATCCGGCATGGCGCCCTGCTGGCATTGAGTTGCTGAACTGTTTAGAGGAGAGTTTACCATTGAGGCTCAAGTTGAGTATGGCCGGGATGGTCGTCAGACCCACGATCGCTGCCACTGCTGTCAAGACTCTTACGGATCCTTATTGCCACTTGCATTGTAGTACCCATCGGTATCATGGTTCTGTCAGCTGATTGTGACGATGACGATGACAATTTGTATGATGCTCTTGGCGCTGCATGTTGAAGCTTCAGCTTAAGCAAAAACACGACGTATTCCCCATCCAAAAGCTTGCGCTTCGGATTTCAAGCCGAGGGACATTTCCTGAAGAACCCAAAGCATCAACATTCACCGCACCCATCCGGACCTTCTCCAAAAGGTGAATCGTGAGGAGTTCATCGAGGGCCTGCTGGACATCTTCCTCCGTGAGGTGCTACCAGCCCGAGTCTTTGTTCCCGACAGAAGTGTCAATCTCTTGTTTCCACGTAGCCTCCTAAGGCAGCAAGGAACCTAGGATAAGCTTCCGGATCCAGAAAGAGATCCAAGAGCATGATCTTTGGGAGGTGCCCATCTACTCGTTGCAGATGATGAAGATGCTCCGCCTGGTCAGGGATGGCCAATCCAAGATGCAGGTGCGTAAACCTCGTTAGGTGCGGGACAAGCTTTGACCCCAAATGGCGTGCGCACAGAACACGGCGCGGCGCGCACAACCAGGGCCACAACCAGGGCCATAAAGAGCTTGCAAGAAGCGTGCGTAGTCGGCGACCAGTCTCTGAATCCATGACAGAAGTTCTAGGCCTAGAGGCGAGCGTATTTCAAGCGCCCAAGCTTTCCCAGCTGCAGAAGTCTTGAGCCCTTTAAGATCTTGACGTGACAGCGAATCTGCAGGCTGACCTCGAACAGCTGCAGCGGTCGATTGGGAGTTCAGGTTGAGATGCAGCCTAGAGCGCTCGCAAAAGGATTTGGCAGGTTTGGGTTCCAGAAGTTGAGATGAGTTTAGGTTAGGAAGCAGCCCAATTCTCAAAGATGCATGGGCCATGTTGTACAGTAGCACTGCCTGAAAGAAGGGCAGAGCTGGTTGTGCGCAAGATGGCAGCTTCAGCCCAAAGCATGCGCTGGACCTCGCCGGCGCAAAAGGCTGAGGGTGATAAAATCCGTCCGCAGTGTGCCGAGTGTGCCGACTGCGCTCCGATGATTTTTGCAGATCCTGTGGTTGTAGCAGAGGGCCGTGGGATCCTTTGCGGCACACCTTGCAGGAACCTTGAAGTAAAAAAGCTGCGCTCCTAGGTCATCCTGAACACAGCTGGAGATCCAGGCGATGGGCTGATGCTGCATGATTGCCGGAATACTCCCGCAAAGAGCCTACATCCTTTGCATAAACTCAGGACTAGACATGGCCGTCATAAACAATGACTTTGGAAGCGCAAACACGTGTGGACTCTGTAGTGCTGAGTCCATGCTGTTGGAATTGTTGTGCTTCAGAAGGATCCCCGTGCTCCCTCCTGTCACAAGCCAACGGTAAATGTTTGACTCATCCATCCCCTCTGTGGCTTGGGGTGAGGATGACTTTTTGTATATCGCCACCCTCACCTGTTCCTGTTGTCCTTTGGTCTGGATGTTCTTCTTGGGTCTGGTGGTCTTGATTTCGGGTTCCGTGCGCTGTAGAGGAGTCTGTAGAGTTCACAGGATTTCATGTCCTTCTTTTCAATGTTCTTAGGGTGTCTGTGAGGTTGAGTAGAATTTTTGCAAGGCTTCGCTGCGTTGCTATCAGTTACTATCAGGTTTCACAAGTCAGTTAGAGCATCACTCAAACGGTAGAGATGGCAAGCCCTACTTAAGCCCTCTTCGCTGGGAGGTCTTGCCGCCTGGGCCCAGAACGCTGCGGCGGCCTTGGAAGCAATCTCGGAGGCACGCTATACAGGGGTGCTTCTGGATAATTACGGGTCCTGTTTTTTTGGTTTAACTGGTGATCAAACATGGGATTACGGGGAGTGTTTCTCAATAGCTATACAAGGGTCTAATGTCCTCATGCTAAGGGTGCTGCTATGTTGAGGGGTATGGAGGTTTGCTTGCAAAAAACTGAAAAAGTACTTGCATTAGCCGGCAGAGCCCTTACTGCTTTTTGTTTTTGTTTTCTGGGCTTGATTTTGGCATGATTTTTTGCCTTTTTCAGCTTTCTCAGCAGATCCCACTCGAACAGGTTTTTTCTGAGCACATGCAGCAGTTGCAGCAGCTTCTTCTTTATGAGTACGGTACGTGCCGCAAGTTTTTCCAGCATCTCAACTCCGGAGCGAAAGGCTCACGTTGTTTCGATTTTTTCTTGCTTTCAAGCCGACTTTCCGGCTCCTTCCATCCGGTGGGCGGACTTTACGGGCGACTTCACGGACGGAGGTTGTGGGAAGACTTTAAGAGCGAGGTTCCAAGAGGGCGGTTTGGCTTCTGGTCTGGATTTAGTTTCCAAAAACCGATTCAGAAAACAACAGCCCGAAAGAAGTAGTGGCGCCTGGGGCATGAGAAATGATAGTGCAGGTGACAACGAACTTGAGCAAACCAAGTGTTAAATAGTGTTAAACTGTAAATCTAAAGGGGTCTGAGGGAACCACTTTTCAAGGCGTAGTCTGAGTCTGAAAGACGGTTGACCTTGGCACATAATACGGATAAGGATAAAATTGTAATTGTACTAGTAAACACAATAATAAGTAAACATCATAATAATAGTAGTAGTAGTAGTAATCGTAGTACTAGTCATAACAGCACTATTATTAATAGTGAAAAGAAAAATAGTAACAATAATGGGCCTTGGCAGCGTTGACAGGTACCGTCAACTCCACTCGCGCTGGAGGACGTCGACGGAGAGAGCGAGGCATGCGAGCCAACCCCGGCTTTGGCGGACGTCGAAGGGCCAGGGCCTAGTATTATTACTATTACTATTACTATTACTATTACTAGTATCATTATCGTTCCCTTAATATATGAATATTATCACTAGTATTGTTATTAATATTACTAGTGTTATTGCTATTATTAGTATTATATGGGGGTTTCCCAAAATTAGGGGTACCTTTTTAGGGGTCCCTATAATAAGGAGTATACTTTTTTGGGGTCTATATTGGGGTCCCCTTATTTGGGGAAACTACCATATTCACTTGATGCGTACGCAACCCTTGGAGCATTGCCATCTGCCTGCAGTGGTAAGGTCCCTGGAAGCGGCCGAGGAGTCCAAAGAGACCGGCAGCTGAAGTTTCTGGGTTGCTGTTAAGGAACTTAAATTAAGTTACCATATTGGGGAAATCCTATTATTTACTACATATACCCATTATGGTAACTTAATTTAAGTCCCTTAACAGCAACCCAGGTTTCTGAGGGCAGCTCCCAGAAACAGTTCAACCAGTCTGTGCTGGACTGGATCATCCTTTGCACGCTGGAGGCCTCAGAAGTCACGAGGAACGAATGCCCCAGAAACCAATGACATAGATAACACTCCTGTGTGTGTGTGTGTGTGTGTGTGTTATGGGAAATATCTTTTAAAGCAAGCCTTTAATGTGCAAGCCTGAGCCTTAAAAAAGGGCCGCGATGTGCAGCCTGAAATGCTCTTATGGGTGTGCCAAGAGTCTGTTTGTCAATGCACTGGAAAGAACATGAGAGGATAAAGATGTTGCCGAAGACGTGAGGCTTTAACAGACTCTTGCAGTAGGCCTCAGCTGGCTGCTTTCAAGCAGAGTGGGCAGGGTCACAGGGGTGTGCAGACGCCTGTCGCAGTTGCGGGATGCAAAAAGACTGTCCCTTAAAACATCACGCTTTTCAGAGTGTCAGGGTGTCAGCAGGCGCGGCGGATGCTGGAGTGTTACGCAACGGTCAAGGGGAAAGGTACTTGCAGTTGCCTTGTCCGGTCGAAGTGCTAATGTGGTTTCCCGATGAGGCACTCGGGGCTTCAGTTTAAGGGTTGGCGTGAGCCTGACTGCGTGCCTTAGTCTTCACAAACACGTTTGAAACCCTGTGCTCATGCAGCCAAATTCACGCGCTTTGGCCTCCTACCAAAGAGTAGAGAGGTGCGCGCAAGTGCACGGCTTAGGCTTAGGTTCATAGAAGATTCAGGCACTCGCATGAACTTCTAGGAGAGTTGCTTGAAGTCCCCAAGTTCGCATGAGCTCAGTCATTAAGGAATGTTATGTCCTTGCGCACCACTAACAGCCTCGCAGAGATGACGACAACTGCGCCTGTTGCCGTCGTCATACCGAGACGACAGGAAGGCTCCCGGTCCCAGACTGATCGTTGCATGCGTTGGGCCAGGAGCGCCCCATCTTGAGAAGTGCATTTGGAAGGAGACCTTGGGTCTTGGAGCATGTCATGGTGTCCCTTGTCAATAGATATTCTTCATAGCAGCCTATCTCCACTTATGCGGCTCACCCCCTTGGTAAATTAGCTCGCGCAGGTGAAGCTCACACCGTGTTCCGAGCGGGCGATAAGGCTGTTCCTGAGAAGGGGGGATACTCTTGCGCTTGGCTCTTGCAGTCTCGAGAGCTTCAGTTGGCTGAGCAGAAAGCTGTCGTGGTAGTAGTAGAGAATGACCGGTCGCTGAGTCGTGTCGGCTTTTGCACTTCACATGCACTGTCGGGCAGGTGGCATATTGGTCCCGCTCTGCTGGCAAGTGGCTTGCGGCCACTGTGCTGGGCCACAATTGCATAAAGCCAGGGCCTCGGCAGGATTTGAACTTCAGCCTGAGAGGCAGCTGTCAGCTGCCGGCTCCCCGACAGAATGTGTAGCGTGTTTGCTATTCCACCATGTGGATGGTTGGAAGCGCCTGTTTCACTTCCTCCCATGAATCGTAGGCTTCTTGAGTGCGGTCTTTTGATCCAGGCCTTCCCATGGCCACGTCCGAGCCTCAGCAGTTCCCCTGCCGATGCAGCACTGACACGGTCTCCTGTTTCAGAAGCTTGGAAGCCAACTGGTAGCTGGTAACTGGTACCTCTTAAAAGGCAGCGGTCCGATGCCCAAGTCTCCAAAAACTTGAGATCAGTCCAGATGGGATTTCTGACCTGATTTCCTGGTTGCCAGGCACCAAACATGTGGAGCTACAAGCTGGATGCCATGCCCTGAGCAGTCGGCAAGCTGGTGTGCCACAACCTTCTTCTCACCTCCTCCTTCGGTCTCTCCTTCCCTCTTCCTCGCTCCCTCCCTTGCTCTCCTTGCCTCCCCCAGCGTCGTTCCGCATATCTTGTCACTGACCGAGGCAAATCGGAAGGCCCCCTCAAATTAATCGCGGCACATTTGAGTGACCTTGTTGGCCAAGAAGGATTTTCGCTGTGATTGCACCGGACATCGTCACTGTCATGCTTGTTTGCTACATAGCTAGCCGCGGCTTCACATATTACATCAAGCTTTCCTTTTACATGAACAGCAACAAAAAAGGCAAAGTAACAATGCAACCTGCATTGAAATCATTCCTCACCGCCAAGCGAAACAGCGGCACAATGTCTCTTTCCTTTGGTGAATCTGAATGATTCGAGAATGATTAGCAGTGACTGAGGTGCAGCCCCTCGCACCCCCTTCACTGGTCGCGCCGCGGCTGCAGAACTCGGGGCTGCAGGCCGGATGGGAAGGATGCGGCAAGGATGCCCCTAGCTGCCGAGCCTAATGGCCTAATCCTGACTTTGTGGCATCTGCAGGCTTCGCAAACGCAGCCAGCTTTGCTACCCTTGCCACCGTCACAAGACAAACTCCACGGAGCGCTTTTTACGCCTGGCCCACCACCACCGGCTTGGGAGGCCAATCCGCTGCTTGGTGGCAATGTCGAAAACGCTAAGCCACCCAATGCTGCTGCTACTACTACTCCTGCTGCTGCTGCTGCTGCTGCTGCTACTGCAGTGCAGGTGGGGAGTGAATGGGGGGGCAAACGAGGAGCACGTTGCATCACAGCTCTCTTCTGCTTTAACCCGCCGTCCATGTGGGTGACTCGCCATTATTGGAATCGATGCTCAGCCCTTGTATCAATTACCTCTGATGTCCGTCCTCGATTAATTTCTGGTGCCCTTCAGGTTGCCTCTCCATGTCCTCGTCCATTCGGGCCATCATTGTTTTTTCTGACCCACCGTGTTGGCATGCTTGTTTCATCAAAGCCCATTGAGTACCAGAGCAAGGAAAGGTCAGACCTTTTCTGGCATGATAGAAATACGGAGTGTCAAAATATATCAAAATGGAAGGTAAAACATGTATATCCATGCCCAAATGTTTACAACATTGCCTGCAGCCTAAGCCCGTGAACCCGACCACCCTGAACCCGACCACCCCCCGGGCAGGCATTTCGCATAGGACTGGGGCTATGACTATGACATTGGAATCTGCCTTGCACTATATGCGCATGTAAAGATTTCCGAATTACATGTTATGTTTCCTAAGCATGCAGGTTCCTGTTTTCTAGGAACTGCAATTTAGGCAGACTTCCGTGCCACGGCCTCCACATAAAACTGCAAGGCTCTCGCTCTCGCGGCATGCTTCTGCTCGTTGCCTTCATTCCGCCAGCATCCCGGCCACCACGGGCATCCCAAACACTTCCCCTGGCACTGTGTCTCCCGCGCCAGCAGCGACGACACGAGCGCCCGGGCTGGAAGTTTGGGACAGGTTTGCTCTCAGGCGCTTGGAGGAAGCCTGCTTGTGGTCTTCATGCTTGGACCACGGGTTGGTTTGCATTTTTGGAAGTGCGAATTTGTGAACGAGTCAGTCTTGCCTTCCATAGACTCATGCAATTTTTCAATGGGGTTCTCACGTACCGAAAGTTTAAGGCCATCACGGCTGTGCGCAGCTGGTGCAAACTTGAGTTAAGAAGCATGAGTGCCTGCAACAGCATTTTACGACTCTAATGCTGACAAGGGCAGTAATTAGCAACAGCCTGGTTTCAACGGACATCACATCAGATGCCTTATGCTCAAGTCGAGTACTGCTAGGCAGCCATTCAGAGTTTCTTTCCAACTGCAGGCAGATTCCGTGCACCCTTTTTTGCCTTGCTCCGACTGGTGCAAAGGTGATCCGCTCAGAGACGCCCCTGTCTTGCGCGGTTCCGGCATCCGCCCGACCTGAAACCCTTCACGCCGCCAGCTTGCAGTTGTGGAACTGCGTAGCGAGATGGGGAGCCACCGTTTCACTATATCTCACTCTTGCGTGCACTCACTGTCAAGAAGCCCATTGCCCAGGCAAGTATTGCAAAAATCTAAAGCAATTTCTGGTGAGAACAGCTTTTGACGAATGAGGAAGTGTATTTTACGATCAGCTGTCCTGACTTGCAACTGAACACACGAGAAAGAAGCTCTCCAGCCTTGGATAGCTTCCTGATGCAGTGTCCTGCGAATTTTAGGTCACCACACGGCTGCCGCGGGTGTCGCTGACTGACTCCGTGTCGGGATTGAGGACACCAATGTCTGCCAGGTGCACGCTAGCTCACACAGGGCCACTGCAAATACTGGTGATTGCCTCCTTGGGAAGTGCATTCTTTGGAAAGCTGGTTGATTTCTCTGCAGGTTTGTGCCAATACAAATGCGAGGGCCGCAACATGTCTTGGTGTAAACTCATGCTCCCTCAGAAGTCAAAGGGTATCATCATAATCTCATGCGACCCATTCGGTACTGCAAAGTCTTTGTCCCATACGCACGGGTAAGCACTGACAACATTTGACTTGCTGTGCACCACGACGAACTGGTTTCTACCGTCTTTTGCATCACCACTGCAGTGGGAACAAGTTTTTCGCATGTTCAGTGACTTTGTGGTAACAATCCACCATTGGACCTGGTTGCATTCCTGCATTCGTGATTGGATTTGTGCCGACATTCAGATCGCATTGCTCGTTTTGCTTTCGGGCCTAAGCACCCCGCTCCTAACGTCTGCTCTCAGTTTGCGCCCTCCAATGTTTACAGTCCTTCTCGCAGCCCAGATTCCCCGCCACAGGTCCGAAATCATGCTGTTAGTTCCAATCGCAGGGACTCATCGTTCTTTGATAGGTCCTTCGGTACGCCACCAGCTGGCGGTGTGCGCTCACCACGGACGCCGATGACAGCGCGATCTGCAACCACGGCTGGAGATGTGTCGTGTGAAGTCCTTGCCTTTTTGAACTTCCAGGATCACCGCACTTATCTTGCTGAGCCTGGTGGCAACGAAGGCAAAGCTCTCATCGCCCGTGTCCCGGCGCCTAGAGGCCCCACCGTCGCCGCCGAACCCGCGTGCCCTAGAAGCACTTTGTGACACATATGACACATCTTCTGGGCTGACAAGTTTGATTTAGGGGTTTGCCAACAGGTTTCCAGGGTTGACACTGTGGATGCTCGACATGCATGAGGTTACCACACGCCAGCTACGCCTTTGCGCGCCTTTGCCGCGGCTGGGGAGGATCTGTGTTGTCACTTGAACAGCTTCATGCAATGTAGTCTGAGCATCCCTGAACAAACATCATGAAGCCAACAAGCCAGAAAGTCTAAGACCGTCTGGCGCGTGGAGCAGCCTGTTGAGGAGGAACGCGGCGAGGTCTCGCCGAAGAAGCCGCCGCCAAAGGCTTGCTGTTGGGTTTCGGTTTCTGGTAAGTGGGTGTCGTTAGCAGTGAATTATATTCTTCTCCCTTTCCCAACCCTCACTATCATCGTAGTAGTTGCAGCAAGCACCACTTTTCAGAAAAGGTGACATGAGCAGTAGCGTCTTTCCTGGGTTAGGATCACATTCTTCAAGCTCATATGTACCCTTGACCGATAGTTGACTCAACCCTCACTGGCTCACCATGCAACAGGTCTTCAGCGAGCGGGTACTGCGAACGGAGGATGCCATCCATGCATGGTAAACCCTATGCACACCCTGTGTTCGGTCTTTTTGGTTAGGACTTTCAAGCAGATCGTGAGCATTTGCTAGTTCGTTGTATTGTAAAGCTTCATGTAGCCGAGCTCTTGGGTTGATTGACGGCCACCTTTCAGAGGACTGCTTCACGCCCGCTGCTGCCAATCCAGTCCTTACGGCAGCAAGCGGGGGGGGGGGGTAATTCAAAGCAGGTTGAGATGACGAGCCTTCACCCCAAGACGCTGGAGGACCTAGGACTTAGGCGTAAAGTACTCATAGTCCTCAATTGCAAGTTTTGTTGAAGCAAGGTGACGTTAGGAGAGGGCCCCTTGCTGGCCCCGCTCAGAACAGTCAGCATAACTGCGAAGGGGGTGGCTTTTGGATGCTTACTTGTGCGTTGCCTGCATCATGGGAATCAAAGCGCAGCGTTTATTTGACGGCCCCTGCATGGAACCCTGCAGTTGTTCTCCGATTGTCTAAGGTCGTCATCACGCTGCCGCCGCGCGACAAGTGGCCTGGCGGCAGCGAGCAGAGTCTACTGGTGGACTGCCGTAGGCTTTTTTTGCACCTCACTTGCTTGAAGATGGCAAGCCTCAGAACTTGACAAATTCTGCATGTTCCGGGTTTGCTGCAAATTCGCGATCTTTATGTAGCCCAGATCACAGGGCCCCGGTCTCCCAAAGCCAGCTTCAGGACGGCCAAAAAGCCGGTTCCTGCACGCGCCACGGTGCCCATGCAGGGGTGGCACGGCTGCAGAAATCCGAAATTGGAAGTTGGTGAACACAACTGGAGGTTTGACCTTAAACAGCATGATCTTGCTCAGGTCAACGTCACCCATCCTCTCTGCTCAGCGAGTTCCGCTTTCCCCTGGCTCTGGCCTTCGAGCAGCTCAGCCCAACCAGTTGGAGGGTTTTCGGGTGGTCAATCCCGTATAATGTCTCGGCTTCTGGTTTTTGCGTGGCAAATCCTTTTCATGTGCTGCTGCTCGAAGAAAGTGGACCCTACTGCGACACAGATGGCTTGGCTTGCGGCATCGCCCTGACCTCCGACAGGGTAAGGAGAGTTTGGGTGGCTCTTGCAAGCGTGTCACTTGGAAACTAGAAAGTTGCAATGAATTGGCAACTTGCATTTGGCCAAGAGAAGAGCTCAATCTGCTCAGGGCAACGTTCGCAAACAAGGGGTGCTTGGTGTAAGCCCACGACCAGAGCCCGTGAAGCTGTGAGCAGTGGCGCATGGATGAAGCAGTTATTTGGACTTTCATGATTTTGAGCTTCCTTGACTTCTACAAAGCCAGCGACGACCGTAAAGCAGAGTTTGCCCTCGTAGCGCCGTAGCTCTGAAGGCCTTTCAAGCTTCCAATTCCCTCAGGCAGCGATCATCCCTGGCCGTGCCATCGCCGTACGGCCGCCGCCCTCCACGCCGCCACGGGAGCACCGCAAGGCTCGCAGGAACTGTGCCACTTGCAACCTTCCCGTGCCTGTGCAAATCAGGGGTGAACTGAGGCGCTGAGTGCCCAATCTTAGCCGTCAGGGTATCGCCAGCGGACATGGTAGAATGCCCCAGCGACCTCAAGATCCCTGCTGCAATGAAGTTCAACATCCTACATGTCTTTCCATACATGTATCTTGGAGAGGTCGCGCTATGGCCAGGCCAGGCCCTCCCGGGTTTCCTGTTAATTCATGGAAGGCTATCGAAATCTTGGGTACATCGGTACCCAAAAGTCACCAGAATTTAGACAACCTACCATGTGAGGATTGTGATTTGATGGGATTATGCGCTGGCACCATAGGGGTGTTTTGAGCCGATCCTTAGTGGGATCATGGGGGGGAGCTGGGGATGTCAGATTTTGGTGTTAAAGCTCTCCACTAAAAGATGGAAGCAGGAGGCGGTAGAGGATTTGCTTTGGAATGAATTGGGTGGGCTTCATGCATGTCGTGTTTGAGATCGCTTGTCAAAGCCAACCACAACCTGGCGATGGCGCACTTGGTGCCTGCCTAGCATGCTTTGACAAGTCCTGCTGCAGCATGGGATGGGACTTCACTTGCGTAAAAGAAGGCACCGGAAGCTTGAAACAAGCATGTACATGTTGGAGTAGCTCAGTAGTTGTAGCTGCAAGCTTCCCTCTGAAAATCTGAAACAAAGCGTATGAAGGCTTCCACTCATTAGAGCTCGCGACCCCCCACACTGATGCGCAGTCCGAAGGGCACAGGCAATGTTCAGCAACGCCGGCTGTTTTGAGATGGCTTATTTGTTGTGAGCTTTTGTTGTACTTTGTCTCGAAAGCCGAAGACACCCCGTGAAAGCCTCCTTGGTGTAGCACACGCTCCGCTCATTTATCCTTCACCCAAAGTTTTCCCTCATTTGAAACGAGGAATCATAATGATGATTACAGCTGCAATTCTCTGTCAACGTTTTCAGTTGTTAACAGCTGACCTTTTGGCAGTGAGTGGCAACTCCCGGCCCGTGTCACTGCTGCGGGGCAGTGGCCCGGCCCTGGCCCGGGCCTCGTAGAATCTGGGGTGCCTATGGGGGGCCTGGTAGGGAATGAAGGAATTGAAGCTACTAGTTAGGGTTTAGGGATGAAAAAAGAACATGGAAGCTGCTGTTTAGCGTTCGGGGTGTGAGGTTTATTGTAGGGTTTGGTATTGGCGAGAACGGAAGCTTCTGTACTAGTCAAGTCGTTGTAGCTGAGGGGCGTCCGGCTTTGGCATGCTTGGGCCTGGGGTTTCTTGGTTTCTTCATGGGGTTGCTCTGTTCGCAGCCTAGATTTTTCTTCTGAAAATGGACAAGATCATTGCTATCCTTGCTGCACACCCCCTCGCAAGATCAGCATGTATCTCCATCCCTCGATTTGTCAGACCATGGGACCATAGCCGTGTCGCACGCCAGACATTTAGAAACTTGCCCTGGTCGGGAAAACAAAGGCTCTTGAAACTTGTGCCCTGAAGAATCATATTTCACTTACTGTGGCTTTTCGGATCTCTGTTGATCCTGACTTTGAGAATTCATTGTCGAGAGGGGTATGCGCAGCATCTCATTTATAGGCATAGCATTGCAGGGTTCTGAGACGTTGGAGTTGCGTGTGGTTGTGGACCGTCCATGGCTCACGCTGTCTCAAGCAAGAGCGGGCCAGGACTGTGGACTATTGGTGTACTAGAGATGCACTAAACGAGGATATGAATTCACAAATTTAAGCTGTAGGCGCACAAACGCAGGGTTTGCAAATGCTGCTGCAGCAGCAGCTGCTGCGGCGCATCTTGTCAGTGGCCGGTGAGCATGTCACGACTGGGAAAAAAACGGAGGAATGAAACGTGTTGCAACATCGTGCTGAGCGGACCACCTGCCCAAGGCCAAAACCTGTACCCTGCGAAAGCGGAGCAAGTGTTCTGACGCAAAATGACTCAACCGCCCCTCGCGAGCTCCAAACAGACGGCTGAGGTGCGTCCAGCAGAAGATGCCCGAGGTTCTATGGGTGCTGCCTGGCTACAAGAAGTCCTTTCAACAATTGGAAGTTCTGCGATCAGGAGGCGCAATGTTGCCAGACACATGCGACGAGCGGGTCATAATTTGAGCTTGGCATGTGGCATAAGGCAGAGCAGGTTTAGAAAGAAGGAAGCGGCTCCAAGGTGAGTGGTGGATGCCAAAAGGCCCTTGAGAACTGGCATTAACCTTTGGTTTCATACCAAGACCTTCACAAGCACTGTCGAAGCCGCACATCGGCCTGTGTGTTGAGCGAGGCCTCGCATTTTCAACTGGTTACAGCCTGTCTGCTTTGTTATCAGGCCTTCTGTTTCAAGTCTTTGCGCATTAAACCTGTTGCAGCGTGGGCATCCCTAGGGAAGATATGTATATATGTGTGTGTGTGTGTATAGATGTATCTGCAAAACATGGGACTTTCACTCCACAGATGCCACTCGCAGCAAGCAGCGGGACCGCCAGTCGCGAAACCAGTCTGCAAAACCCTATAATGACCCTGAGCCACCAGCCTTCCATGAAATTGGGGTGTGAAGGCATGAAGATGGAAGATGAGCGTGATTTAGTGGTACCTCCTCCTTCCAGAAATCTAGGTTCCACTGTAGATGTTTTTACGCCGCAATCGACCACGTGGAAATTGGATTGGCTTTACATGTCGAAGCAACCATGTCGCACCAAATCTTGCTGCAAGCCGCACCCATAATTTTGACGTAATGCCGTGTCTCAATGCGATGCTAAAGCATCAACGTCATTACGACTTGCGACTTGCGAAGTGACAAGAGCCATGGCAGCAGTACTACGTGCCAGTAAATGTGGCAAGAGTAGTACTCAGCTGGACATTCGCAACGGTAGCTGCAACAGTTGTGTTCAAGAGTAGTGCTCAAGTTGAAGAGATTCCGGCGAAGCCCAAGGTGGCGCTGCTGAGCCCCAAGGATTCTGACTCTTTCAGACCAGCATCGCCCGAGAGGCCAGGTATTAGGGAATGCTCCGGATCATAGAGATGATAGAGGGATGTTCCTCGACAAATTTGGATCAACAAAGAAGTCAGGATCAGAAGTCACGAGACTACAAGCAGGGATGCAATGAGAAGTAGAACACATGGCGCAGGCAGAATACGCAGCCTGTGGAGTTTTGCAAGGGCGCCAAAGACTGTAAAGTACCACACCTTCAGCTTGTCAGAAGAGCAGGGAAACTCAAATTGCACCGTACTTGGTCCAAGGATTCAAGGCAGAAAGGAAGGAGAAAAGATGAAG